ACAAAGGGTGGTTTTCTTTATCTGAGCTGGGCAAGTAGGGGAAGCTCTGTGAGGTGAAGAGGAATCGTGCACCCCCCTCCATGGCAGGGTCTGGCAAGTCCAAAGCTTCAAAAAGTTGAGAGGGAATCTGTCTGCAGGGGTGAGCAGAGCTGGATTGGTGTGGAGGGGGTTGCCAGAGGAGGAGAAGGGAGATCTCCTGCTTTATTCACCCTCTGCCATCATCTCCCCATGCTGTATTGGGTTTGCCTGGCAAGGTTTTGGTGGCAAGGGTCTACAGGGTGGGTTCTGGGAGAAGCTGCCAGAAGACTCCCTCATATCTGATAGAGCCAATGCAGCTGGCTACAAGATGGACCCACCACTGGCCAAGGCCAAGCCCATCAGCAAGAGTGATTCTCTGCTTCTGGGAGGACATATTTAAGAAGGTGGGAAAAGAAATGAAGCAATAATAGAGAAACAACTCTGCAGACACCAAGGTCAGTGAGGAAGGAGAGGGAGAAGGTGCTGCAGGCACCAGAGCAGAGATTCCCCAGCAGCCCATGGGGAAGACCATGGTGAGGCAGGTCGTCCTCCTACAGCCCACGGAGGTCCATGGTGGAGCAGGTCTCCACCTGCACTGTGCTTGGAGGACATTTCTGGGCAGTGGTTAGTGAAGCAGTTAAGGAGTGCTGGTTTACATCTCTTGGGGATCAATCCACCTCCTGATCATCTGTTGCACGTGGGTCTGGTTTCCTTCCAGTCATGTTCATGGCAAGCAGAATTACCTTCATTTAAACCACTGGTGTTTCTTGGGGAGTAACCACTAGGAAAGAGTTGGTCCATTGGCACCATCTCCTGATGAGTCACATACAGGGGGGCAGAGAAGATGTCCCACTGGTTGTTTTGTTCATCCATGAACATGAGTGGGCTCAAGAGCTTGGAAGAAGTCAACTCTTGGTATGAAACACCAAAGTGCAACCCTGAAGCTGTTGGCCTGGAGGCCACCAGTAATCTGAGAGCTTCTCCTAGGGCTGTTGAAGCCAGTGGATTGGGTCACTCCTGCATGTTTTTGTTGTTCAAAGTACAGTCAGATGGCTCAGGGGCAGCATGTCCTAATGAATGCAAATGCAAGTCGTGCTTCTCCATTTCAAAGCACTGGGTAGCTCACAGAAGGTTATTTATGCAGCTCCTCAGCCCCAGTGATGCTCAGTGCATAATTCCTCCCCCATCCCAGTGACTCAAGCTGCCCTCAGGGATGGACTTTCCAAGCCAGCCTCTCTGTTTTTAGGTTGCAGAGATGGGAACTTCAATAGCTGATGAGTTGAGTGTGCAGGTTGGGTTTGATGTGTGGGGGATAGGAAGCCCACCCTTGCCTGCAGGTGCCACCCAGGATGACTTGCTCCTCTTAATAGCAGTGGCTGAAGGGACAGGCTGGCAGCTCCTAGAGACTCTTGGTTCTCTCCTCTTATTTTCCAAGTCCTTCTCTATTGCCAGCTACTCAGCACTTGCCTCAGCATGGAAACTTGGGGCATATCAGCTGTTTACTTGTGTGCTTTTCACTCAAGCTTTATTTCCACATCTTCCTCAACCTCTAATTCCATTTGCATTGCCTCCTGCTTGCTGTAGGTGGTCTCAGTCTCACTGAGATTCTTCTCAGGCTGGTTAAAAATGGAATCCACCAACAGCCACAAATGATCTCTTCTCCTCTGTGCTAGGGTCCTAGGGGAAGTGAAAATAAATGTGGCTTTTCTTGCTCTTAGTACTGTAGTCACTACAGCCCATAACCTTTTTGGGAAGTTTAACTTCTAAAACACCAGATAATTTATTTACCCCCTTGTATTAGCTCTCCTTGGTAGCTGAGAGGTGACAACCAAGCTGCAGTGAAACAGTGACTGTAGAAAATCTCCAGTGAGTAACCTCTTTCCTAAGAGAATTTGTTAACCAAAGGACTACTAAAATCTTTAACCATCACTGGAAGACTTTTTGGTAGACAGCCAACCCTGGCTGGTCTCTTGAGTGTAAAGGTAGTATGGAAACATTCCTTCTAGCATTATTCCTCACAGCTGCTGATGCTGATCTCCTGTACATTAAAGAGAAATGCTCCTTTATTGCCCCACTGTAAAGCATTTAAGCCCAGCACCCCCAGGTCCTTCTCTTCACCCCCAGCCTGGGCTGGTATCAGGGGTTGCCACAATCCAGATGCAGCACTTTGAACCTCGTGGGGTTCAGGAGATCTTTCCTTGCTCTCATCTAGGGCTTAGGGGGTTTTGGCCAGGCAGTCTCCTGGTGCTGTGTCTGTGTTTCCAGTCCTCCAGTGCCATGTGGGAGGGAGGTTTCTCCCTGTGATCCACCAGGAGCCCCCAGAGGTAAATATCCCATTCTTTTTCTTGCACCAAGGAAGAGACTCAGCCTGAGGTTGAGTCTCTGCCTTATGGAAATCCAAAGCCATCTCCCAGCCAAGCACTGCCCAGAAGGGTGATCTTAAGCAAATCCAAACAAAACAGTGTGAAAACACTTAAAATAGGGCCCTATCTAAGGTAATATGTTACAAACCTGTTAGTCTGGATCTCTGAAATCCACTTTTTTCAGTGAGGAGCAGAGCTTGCAGCTTCCAAAGCCTGATCACTACCTGCCTGTCTCAGCCTGTGATCCATCTCCTACCCAAATTATCATTTTCTTCCCCTTATTTCCTCAGTATTTTCCTGTACAACAGAGTAAAGGCTTTATTCCTTTCTCTTGAACACCACAGACCATGTGTTTATACACCCTCCCACTTCTCAGGCTGGATGTGTGGATGTGGAATGTTTTGCCTGTAGGTAAGAGCAAGATGATTTTAGGATTTTCTGCATTTCTAGCATGACTGGTAACTGTTTGCTCCAATCGTGTGTTGAACCCTTTCCAGAAATTGGTAGACTCATTAAATGCAGTCCCCAAACAAGCTCCTCTTGGTTAAGTCACACAGAACAGCCTTGAGTATGAGGACCAGGGCTGTGCCCCACATCTCTTCAACCACAGTGGAGCAGCTGCCCAGAGAGGCTGGGGAGTCTCCTGCTCTGGAGAGATCCCAAACTCTTGGCTGTGACCCTGGGCACCCTGCTGTGGGTGAGCTGCTGGAGCAGGGGGTGGGATGAGATGATCTCCAGAGGTCCCTCCCCACCCCTCCATGCTGGGGTTCTGTGATGGTGACCCACCTTGCCTGCTGGGGCACGATGCTGCTGAGTGGTGGCTGCCCTCAGTCACAAACCTGCTTCCAGAATAACACCACATTGGGGAAAAAAAAGGAAAAAAAAAAGAGAGAAATCTCTTTATCCTGACTAAGCTTGTGTAACAGGTTTTCATACGATGTTTTTAGTATTTAAAGCCTTTTTTTTTTCATTAAACTGTTTCAGGATCTAGAAAAACAAAACAAACAAGTGAAAAAAAAACAACATTTCTCTTACTCAGCTTCATTAGTTGTAGGAAATCTCTGGATTAACACAGAGAGCAGATTAGCAGAAATAAATGGTAGTATGGCTTGGGCATATGGTGCTGCGTGTGAATGGGTTTTAACTACTTAGCTGTGTCTAACAAAGAGCAGAGGGAGAGATTTGTCTGAGCGTGGGGTAATTCCCTGCACAGCTCACCAGTCAGAAACCTCAGAGCCTGGGGCAGGGTCTGAGTGGGGGGCACAGAGACCAGGATTTGGGAGGAACCCGGGAACCATCTCCAGGGCCAGAGGGGAGGCAGGCTGGGGGTGACCCCACGACAGCCCTGGGCTTTGTGTCAGCTGGAAATTGTCCCCTGCAGAGCAAAGAGAGTCGGCAGAGGGAAATAAGAGAGGCCCCAGTGGCAGGGAGGCTGCTGGGGGGTATCGGGCTTCGTGCTCTGGGCACACAGCCATCCTGCCAGCTCTCAATCCAGATGACTCCACAGATTTGGGCTCCCTGCTTTGAGTTTGGGTTTGTTGGTTTTTTTTTTTTGCCTGATATCTCTCATTCCACTCTGCTGCTTCACCCTGCCAAAGTCAAATTTAGGCCTTTTCTAACCAGAGCCAGCTGGCAGCAGTTTGACCCTGAGACCCAGTGTGAGCACTGGTGGGGTCCCAGTCGTGCTCCACCTCCACAGCTCAGGAAAAATCTTCTTTTTTCCATTCAGGTGCTGAGAGGTTCCTGCAAATCCAGCCCTTGGTGATGACATTTCCATGTCCTGAAAAAAAAAACCTTGCTTATAATGGAGATAAAGATTGGCAAAGACAATCTAATCTCATTTATAAAGTCAATTCAGAAATACCTGGAGAGTTACCTGGTCTTTATGGAGGCTCCTTGGTACTTTTGCTAGCCCAGATTAACCAATAATGTCACTCCACAGGGCAGGACTTGCATTTTTAAGCTATTTTTTTTTGGGGGGGGAGGCTGCTTTCCTCTGAGGTTTCCACAATATGTTTCACATCCACTCTGAGCAACATTCTTGGACTTCTGCCCTGGATTCATCAAATATAAATCCTTGCCCCATGCAAAAAGAAACTTTTGCCAAAAATTGTGGTGGTCCAGAGAAGAAAAGAGGGTGTTTGTTTTTTCTTTTTTTTTTTTTTTCCCTCTGTGAACTTTTCACTAATTTTATGCCATTTGTTTTTATTTTGGTGGGAAATTTTGTGCCTTGTAAAGCTCCCTGATGAGGCCATGAGCATCCTTGGGTTTTTTAGTGATTATTACCAAAAAAAAAAAGACTCAATCCTCAGCTGCTCCTTTTTTTTTTTTTTTTCCCCCTCTGTGAACTTTTCACTAATTTTATGCCATTTGTTTTTATTTTGATGGGAAATTTTGTGCCTTGAAAAACACCCTGACAAGGCCGTGAGCATCTTTGGGTTTTTTAGTGATTATTACAAAAAAAAAAAGACTCAATCCCCAGCTGCTCAGCAGAATATTCTTGTTTTCTCCTAACTCAGAATTGAGCCCTGCCAAAGCTGCAGGCTTTGTGTTTAGCTTATCAATAACTCAACGTTGCTTTTGTTGCAGAGTTCCCTGAAGAGAAGAGGCAGCAGAGAAATGCACAAAGAAAAAAAGGCATTTACCCAGGTATGGTTTTCACAAATGTGCAGTTTTGGGGGGCAAAATCACAGGAAAAAGACCTCAACATTGCTTTTTTTATGGGTGTTGACAGGCATGTTAACTAGAATGCAATTAGGCTTTAATCTACTGAGACCTTCCAGAGAGAATCTAGAAATAATTTAGGACGCAAGTGTGATCTCTAAACCATGCAGCTTCTCAGGCTCCTTGTGCCTGGAGCCATAGATCCAGGCTGGGAGTTTTCTGCAGGAAGAGAAAATCACCTTGCCTCTCACAGTAATTGGATCACAGCTCAGGGAATGATTAAATTTATACAGGGTGCCAAAGATTTGGTGCTAACGAGCGTCACGACACCTCGAGAGCTCCCGGGTGCCAGCCCAGGGTTTGAGCTTGGTGTTGGGGGGGACACACCACATGAACTTGTGCTCCCTCAAGCTGGGATGTGACCCAGAGCTTGAGCTACCCACTCAATCTCCCTTTGGACACTGGTTTTATTGGAATCCTGTAGCCTGAGCCTTCTCAGGAAAGCCATCTGCCCAGTTTCCTCTGCTTTTGGGGCTGGCTGTAGGAGTTAAAGCTTTTCCCAGCACCCGTAGAGCTGCTGTTTATAGCTGGAGAGGTGGAGATAGGGTTTCACCTCCCTGCCAGAGGAGCCCAGAGTGACATTGTGTCTTCAGCAGAGAAAGGTTGGCACCTCCCTGGCTCTCCCCTTGACGGGCTCGCCGTCGTCTCTCAGTCGATGGAGTCTTAAAAGCCATTGATTTGTAATAATAACCCTAATAAATCATCCCAGTGTGTTGCACTTGAGTGGGGAGGGTGGGCAGACCGAGGGCTCGTGGTAGCCAGGGGCTGCAGGTGCTTTCCCAGGACACAGCCAATGCAAGCAGGGCTAAATCAGACTTTAAAACAGGGCACTGGGCTTTCTTCCTGCAGAGCCTGCTGTGGAGAGTTAGTTCAAAGCCATCAGCCAGGTCAGAGAGTTTATTTTTCTGCAAGTCTGTAAAATACATGGCTGGAATGGGTCTCTCTCTATCTGCCTGCACACATGCAGACTCCAGCTGTGGCTACACGAAGGCAGGGTTGTGTCCAGTGGGGTTTGTGGGAGGCACTCTCCTTCCTTTCCTCATTCCTGGCAATACAGAGCAGTGCAGAGAGAAGAGGGAGATTGGGAAAACCAAACCTTTGTTGTACACACACATTGCAACCCCTGTGAGCGAAGGATTTGGTCACAAAGAGGAAAGTTGTTGGGACAGCACTGTGGAAGGTGGCTGCTCAGTGTTCTTCAGCAGTTCCTTAGTGGAGGAAGGACTGAGAAGTGATCTCACATATTGACACAGCCCAACCTACGTGTGTCTGGGCTGTCTCCCAACTCCAGGGTGTCACCCAGAGCTGTCTCCAAACCCAAGTGTCCATTCCAAGGCTGCTGGAGACCAGCAAGTGCCCAAGCTGGTCAGACAGCCACCAGGTCCTGGGGTATGGCCCAAAGGGGGTCAGTGCAGACCAGCCCACAGGTTCAAAACGCTGCTCTTCAGGGATACTTAAATACCTAAAGGAAGTTCAAGTGCTCCTTAAGTGTTTTGTGAGGGAAAAGCAGCCACGAGCTCAGATCCTGTGCCTCCACATGCTCACAGATACATCCAGCAAATAGCAAAACTGGTGTTTTTACTTACTGAGAGCTCCTCAGGAAAATTAGCTGGAACATCACACCCACCACGGGGCACCCCGAGTAGCTAATACCTGTGAAACTGATTGTCCTGGAGCTGTGTAAAACCCAAATTCAAAGCAGCTCTCACCCACCTCTAGCAGCATGGAAGAAAAAAGGTTTTTATTCAGCAGAATTGCAAAATGGAGCTTCTTGGAAAACCCCAGGCACCAGGCAAACCACAAAGGAAGGTGGTTGTCCAGCGCAAGGTAGGAGTGCTGGCCCTCAGCCAGATGCTTGGTGCTGGTCGTACCCCCCTGTCCTCAGATTTGCAACCCCAAAAGCTGCTTTACCCATCTTCTGCCTGGCAGTGCCCTCGAGGTGGTGGTGGTGGTGGTGGTGGTGGTGGAGGAGATGGTGTTGGTCTCTCTCTCTTTGTGTCTTCTTGCCAGAAAAGAAATATCGTATTTGGGAATTTTTGATCAGCTCTCATCAGGTCGTTTCTGTTGCAGAATGAATTTGAAGTTCATTCCTTTAAGTTTCATTGCTTTATTTCCACGTGCTACATTTCTCTCCATTAGACTGCAGACTCTGTAGGGAGGGATCTGGGTTTTTTTTCTGTCTGCTTTTTTTCCCCATTAACATCCCTCTGAAGTGCCATGCAGAGCTGTGATGCTGTTGCATGCAAATAAGCACTATCAGTAACCATTAATTCCCATTTATCCCTAATGATCTCTTCAAGTCCGTGCCCAGCACCATGACTGAACATTTCTGCACTGTCATTCCTCCTTTTCTTTCTGTGCAGCCTGCCCCACATTACAGTTTTTAGGAAAATATCCACACATGCTGGAGGGGAAGCACAGTTGGGTCCCACCTTCCAGCCTCTTGTTCCTCCAAAATGATGGGAATATTTTATTCTCCTTTTTTAAATCCTTCCCCTTTTTTTTTTTGTCAGTCATGGTTTCACTAATAACGAGCTGGTTTTAATTTTGGTGCTTTGGCTTCTCCTTGTATAAAACTCCATTTGCCTGTGTGGGTGTCTCACCCTCTTGCTCTTCCTACTTGGTTTCAACTGATCAAGAAATTGCTGATATTTCTATACACAAAGCTCCAGAGGGACAGATGCATGAAGGTTGGAGTCTTACCCTTCTGGCATGCTGAATTCCAGCTGACAAATCTCTCCTGACCATTCTTTTCCTAAGGAAAAAGGCTGTCCAGGGAATGGGATTTCAGGAGTCACGTTCCCTGGCAGAGAAGGGAGGAAGACCTAGAGCTTTCTCACCTTCCCAGATGGGATCCATGTTTAGTAGGGCAGATTAACATCCATCAGCTCTGTTGCTTGTGTTTGTTTAACGAGAAAAAATCTTTGTTTCAGCTCTTTTGAAAAGAAATATTAGAAATGTGATCTTTTTTTTTTTGTTTCCTAGACAAAACCTAGCAATAAAGTAAGGCCACTAGAAGACCCTCACGGTGGCTTTGTCCTGCTGTAATAACTCACAAAATAACTCAAAAAATCCACAACTCTGTGGATGCACTGAGTTGTGCAGTGATGCCAAGCAAAAACCACTGGGCTTCTGACCCCAACCCATCAAAACCCTTCCTTTTTTTCCTTCAAAAGCTTCAAAACCTTGTCCTGAGTGCAACTTGGGGCCTGTTTATTTAGTTTAATGGCAGGGGGTGTCGGGCTGGAGCCCCCTCACGCCCCCATGGAGGAGCTGGCCCCCAGTTGAGGGAGAGGGCTGCAGGGCAGGCTGATCCTTCCCCATGGGAAGAACTCTGGATTGCAAAGGCAGAATAAGGAAAATGTCAGATGTGATTATTTCCAAGCTCTTCACAGATAAATGGATAAACCGGAGCAGTCACCCCACCTGCGAGCTCTGCTCTGGCTCTGACTTCTCTTCTGATCTCTGTATTTCCCTAAAAGCCACAGGGATAAACTGATTTTCCATGAGAGGAAAAACAGAGGGGATGGATCGTGCAGCCCTGACCAAAGATGTTGCTTTAATCCTCCAGCCAGAGCAACCAAAATTCAGAATGACTCTGGCAGAGGCTGCGTGGATTAACGCCAGGGTTTAATCTGATACTTAATTTACAGCTTCCAGCTACAGAGAGAAAAGCAATTTGCAAATATACGTGTGAAAAAGAGGTGTGTGCATGCGAGGAGATGCTAGGGAGGAAAGAAAGCCCAGCTTCTAGGGGCTCTGCTTCTAATCAATTTGCTTCACCTCGCTGGTACTCATAGAAAACTCACATTTCTGGTGCCAGAATGGTGATGAGCAGAGTTTGAAGTCAGTCAACAGATGGAGTGATTGTGGTTGTGTTTAATTTCTTATCACTCAATCCCAGATATTAACAGAAACTTTGACTATTGTTTACCTCTGTCACGTTATTCCCATCTCAGACAGAGTTTTAGTATTTAGTATTTCAAAGTCCCAACCTGCACCAAGCAGACTCAGTAAGAGCTGATTCTATTCAGAAGTATAGAACCAATTACTTGTGTGGCTGTTCAGTTATTAATAGCTGGAATTAAGCCATAATTAGTCTATATCTAAACAGAACGGGGCGAAATTAATCTAGGTAACCAAAAAGACACAACGTGTGCTTTGGAAATTGGATCATTTCCTCAGATTGCTGAGCCATAATTAGTTTTGTAAATCTTTTTTATTATTATTATTATTTTAATAGCCTGATCCAGGCGAACAATTAAAGTCAGTCGTGTTTTCTTCTGGATTTGGTTGCCATTATTAGGAATTGTTACAAAATAGTGCTTGTGAAAGATAACAGTGCTCGGGGAGACCGAAATGAAGTTTCCATAGATAATTGCACATATGTCCACGTGGCCTCCCAACAATGATGAGATCTGCTGTCTCCAGAGATCCCCTTTCAAAGCCTGCCTCCATTATATTGCTAATGCTGATAAATGTGTCTCTTACCCGGCCAAGTGCCTGGATCTCCATGACAATTCACGAAAGTGATTCATGCAAAGAAATTGTTCATCGGCTTAGAATTTGCTTAACCTCAGTCTCTTATTTCAGCACAATACAGGCTGGAGTTTTCACTCCAGCCTGAGAGGCAGCGCTTGAAAACGCCCAGCTCACACCGACAAAAAAAAAATCAAAGTCTCACTCCATACCCCGCTGCTTGCTGAAAAATGCAGCTTTGCACAGGGGATGGATTTGGATGGAAAAAGAATAGATTTTTCTTTCCTTTTCCACATGTTTTCACCACTATTCCCTTGGGGATAGTTGTCCATACCACAAACAGTGGTCACAATCTGGTCCATCCTGATAATAACAGCAGCAGAGACGACAGCGCGCTTCCTATTTGGAAAGCGCGTTAGGCACTCATTAATTAATAAGAGTAATTAAAGCCTTCACTTTGCAAGGCAACTGTGCAGCTCAGCACGCTTCTCTTTTTTGGTTGGTTTTTTTTTGTGCTTTCTAGCCCAAGATTTGGGAGGACGATGAGCAAGCTCATCAGAGCAGCCTTTGTTTCGTGATGCTAAAATGTATCGTTCGACTTCGACGGAACGGAAAGTGCCAACAAATCACGGAGCCTTTTCATCTGACTCCTTATTTTCCACAAAATTTGCTCAGGATTTGAGAGAAACCGAGCGCTGGCACTCTTGCATCACTGAACACTTGCACGGGCACAACTGATTTTAGTTCTTCACCCCCCCTTGTTTAACTCTGGTCGAGCTGCTTTGCCCATTTAACCAGGATCGAGCTGTGAAATGTGTCGGCTGTGTGGTTGGTGTGTTTGTGTCCCTAACTCGTGAGGGTGGGGAGAGGGGGAGATTTGGGAAGTGAAGCTCCTGGTTGTGCTCCCATAATGATACAATCTTTGGCGGCGGGGGGGGTGGTTGTTCTTGGCAGGAGGACAGCGCCGATTTGAAGTGCCAGCTCCAGTTTGCCAAAGAAGAGGCGGCGCTGATGAGGAAGAAGATGGCCAAGCTGGGGAAGGAGAAGGACGAACTGGAGCAGGAGCTCCAGAAGTACAAGTCCATCTATGGAGACGTGGACAGTCCCCTGCCGACCGGGGAGGCGGGTGGACCGCCCAGCACCAGGGAGGCCGAGCTGGAGCTTCGTTTGAAGCTGGTGGAGGAAGAAGCCAACATATTGGGTAGAAAAATCGTGGAACTGGAAGTGGAGAACAGGGGGATCAAAGCTGAGATGGAGGATATGAGGTGCCAGTACGAAAAAGAGTGTCTCAGCAGGGACCACATTTCAAGCATTCCTACCTCGCCCTACGGCGACTCCCTGGAGTCGGCCACGGAGCAGCGGCGGCACCC